AGAAGTCTTCTGAAAATACTGAATTATCTTAATAAAAAGAACACCTGCTAGCAACTTATCAATTTGTTTTAATAAGCCATTTACTGACACTTCAATTTCAGCCAGATCTTCCGATTAAGATCCCGTCAAAAAATATTAACAGCATGCAAAGTTTCCTAAGGACTTGAACAGCAAGGACAGATAAACTCGGTATCTATTCTGGTCTCTTCTTCCAGAAGGGCTCCTTTACACCTTGACCACCTAGTCTCCCAAATCCTTTGACAACTGTCAGAGACAGTACTGTACTGAGAGCTAGGAGCAGAAACAAATTCAGCCACATCAAATCATGGGGAGATGGTATTACTCCTGTAAAAAACACTGATAGGTTTAGTGCTGGCACTTCTAATACCCAGACTTCCTATCACACACTAAATATTCTTTCGGATTTGTTTGTGTTTAATAAAAACTGCTATGAAAACATTTTGAAATTAAAGCCTTACCAGTTTTCCACTGCAAGGCAAGCTTTCCAATCTATACAGTTTAGACAAGGAGCAGAGCAAGAGATGACTCAGTCATCATCTGTAAATGACTCCATGGAGGATAAAGAAAAAAAAAAAATTTCCATATTAGGTCTCTAAGCTAGCTGAAAACAGAAAACATGAGGTTGAGGGCAAACAAATCTAGACTAAACATAAAGCCTTCTCTTTATAATCATGTTTATTGACTACTAGGAAGAATTAAAATATACAGACCTCAGTTATTCAAGAGATTTCGTAAGTCTTAGTTTGTTTGTAAGAGATCCCATCATAGCTCAGAATTAACAGGCTTATTCCTGATGTAACTGGGCAAAGATTTTTACTTCTGTTTTGCAGATCCAGTTACACAATCATATTTGGTTTCCTCAATCTCAAAACACGTGATCTTATGATAAAGTATGTCTATTCAATATCTTATTTCTATGAGTGTTACTTTGGCTTTAAGGCAGTAACAAGTTATCATGTGCATAAATTAATATGCTCCTACTTTCATATTTCATATAAGCAACATGACTTTAATGCTTTATGAACACTGAAAGACTGAAGTGACTCACTTACCTGAAGAAAAGTCTGTGTTCAAACTTTTTTATGGCAATTGCTGGCAAACATAATTTCTGCAGATGCAATCCCCCAAAAAAGTAGAATAAAATAATAATACGAAATCAGAGCAAGGTTTTTAGACAAAGGCTGAGGAAGGAGGGCTAGAATAAAATTGTTGAATGATCCAGTAATTTTAGCTCTAATCTCACTCAGGGTCACCTCTGTAGTTTTTCTGGCATTGCTCTCTTGATATAATTATGCTGCTACAGTTATACTGTTACAAATGATTATGTTTCCAAAGCAATGTATCAGGAGTAATGCCATTCAAATCCATGACATAAGGACTAGAAGAATCAATTCACCATATGCAGTTGATCTCTGGATACTGAATTACTGTTTTTTTTTTTTCCTAGGAAAAACAATGGAAATAAATAAAAGATGAACAGAAATCCAGTAGTAATAAGTCAAAATTACTATAATACAATTATCTGCTTATGTTTAAAGCAATCTATTTTGGAAAGAGAAAGGAAGTCTGGAGCAATTCATTGTCTTTGTCGATTTACTCCAAACGTTCAGAAATTACCAGCTGTTTAGGTTTGCTAGTCTACAGCTACGCCGAGTTACCAAGCATCAGCAGGGGTTTGGTGCCCTCTTATGTTCCATACGAGCAACTTCAGTGATTCCAAACACTTCTGGTGATACATCGCTTGTGAAGGCTTCTCAGGTCACAAATTGTTAAGCAAGTAACTGTCAACTAAGATAACTAACTACTTAATGCTTCAAAAAGGTTAATGACCACTTTAAGGCAGTGAACTTAACTCACAATATCCAGTAGACCCACGGACATAGACTCCTGGGAATGTCATCCAATTAACAACGTAGGTACTTACCCAAAGAAAAGGATCTTATTTCCTTTACTTGGATACTCCAGTGATTACTTCTCACACTTAAAAGTTGACACCTATTAACTAAAATTAGATTTCTGGAGGGTTCTAGCAAGCACCTTGGGTTTTCTTTCTTGTCTAGTTAACATTGTAGTATGTTATTTTTCTTCTTGTGCAAGTATTTCTAACCCACAGAGGAGTCCCTTCTTCATCTTCTAAAAACTAAACAGACTGCTCAGTAAATCTTTTCTGGAAATAAAATCTGATTCTATATTAAGAAGTGTTTTGTTAGGTTGTTTTAATTTCCCTATTAGCATCAAAAGGGTATACAGTTTAAATATTTAAACTCATCCCATTTTACTAATTACTCAGAGGAAAACGTCTGGGAGAGATTTATGTGCCTTTTTGGATACATAAATTAGAATGCAAAAGAGATGGGCCACACAAATAGTAACGTATAAAGATAACATGGAATTTTAGATTACATTTGAAGGTTGGTATCAGAAATTATTAAATACCTTATTAAAGCACTGAGGACCCCATTTAGGAAAGTAATCCACTGCAATGGAAGGTATTGATATTAGTACAGAAATAAAGTGCCCAAGCCTTTCATAATGGGAAATTCTCTATTTATTTTATCAAATTATCCTACTATGCAATTTTTCAGAAATCAGTTTCAAGATGATACATAAGAAAACCTTCAGAGACTTAGCAAGTTAGTGCACAAATCAATCATTTTCTCAGTCTGGTCATAGACGCAGCGGTAAAAAGGAGTCTAAACATCTCACACTGGTTTACAATAAGCATCCCTTCTCATCACAGATACCCAAATGCCTAGAGGCAAGGCACATTTTGGCACCATGGCCTGCCTCAGTAAAGCCTCACAAAACAGGATGAATGCTCCCCATTTCCAGGGGCTGCAAAAGCCCATGTAAAAAGAGAGCAGATCCACATAGCAAACAGAACCTTGTAGAAGTAACTTACTCGTCAGCATCCAAAAGCGCACTACTCCTTTTCTGAACACAAAAGCATGTTCCCAGAGACCTTAGTGTTCAGTTTCAAACGGATGTGACAAAAGAAAAATAAATAAGGAAAGGATCTGGTGAAGAAGGATGGATGTGTCTGGATCCCTTACACCACTAAGATACACTTAAATATAGTTAATAATATTACAGTAATACTTTCAAAAAGAAATCTACCTTGTGTAGGTGAGAAATAGCTACATTGCACGCAGAGCAGAGATCCCTGAGCTAGTGGAGACCTAGCTAGAAAATCCACACAACACGCTGCAAAGCAATGTGGATCTATCCATCTAGGTCTAGAGGAAGTACTGCTACTTTTTCAGCTCACAAATACTGCTTATTAGCTCCCACTCAAGATCATGTGAATGATGGATCATATTTGCTAGTGCAAAACCCTGAAGTTCTGGTTCTAAGGCTTGCATAAGGGCAGCCAGGTTAGATCTGCTTTTGTTGTTGCAGATGTGGCCAACGACAAAGCATTCATATTTAGTGCATTCATCTCACATAGCACTGAAATCAGGCCATCAGGCTCCACAGCAGAGTTACTTTCTACAGAAAATACAAATCTGACTTTTCTGGAGAGTTTTCCCATTTGCTGACACAGAAATTTGTGATCATAGGTTGAAACCTCCCAAATTAAGATGCATTTGCTTTTGATAACATTCACTGAAGTAGATATTTCCATTAGAATAATTCCATTTCCCATATTCCCTTTCTAAGGAAGTTGAAAATAAATTGCCTCTCTTAGCTGGTAATTAGCATTAAAATAGTCCACACAATAGAATAAGTGTGTGGAAACAGCAAAAATCCTCCCAAATGTTTTGAAGAGCTAGTAGATAAATGTGGAATCCAGGGTCACAGCTTTACAGAGTCAATCATACATTCACTGTCTCATTTGTGCCATGTCATTTTCCCCTCATCCCAGTTTCCTATACCCATTTCCCTCTTCAAGTGAACTAACTTAAAAGTCCTGTAGCAACAGGTAAAGAAAACAGAACCACTGTGGACTGGGAATGGAAAGAGACAGCATTTTTTAGGACAGAGCTTGGAGACATCTGCTAAAATATAGTGTAAGAAACTTAACTCTAGACATCAATGGAGTTGATGAAGTGCTGGATATAAACCAGTTAAAAATCCCCAAACCATACCAGATGTGCTGCTGTTAATTGTCAGAGCTTCAATAAAATTGGGAGAAAATCATGCGTCTCCCAGTCCCTAATGCTGATTAAGTCTTCCCTAGCAAATTGCAATTTGTTTATCTCGCAGAACTTAAATGAGTTGAACTTCAATATGTTCCACTACAAAAATCTTACGGAACAGAAAACTCATGCTGATATAAAACAAACTAGGTTAAGAACTGATTTAGTTAAGAATCAGTAATTGGCTGCTGTGTGCATACTTTTAATTTAGTTTGAAGTGCCTGATATCAATTTATCTTAAGCTTATTACTTTAACTAGAGCTGAAAACTTAGATTTCAATGCTTATGTCATTAACCACCTAAGGCAGATGCCAGTATCAGCACTGACACCAGTAACCAGCAGCATCTTATTCAACATCATAATGCATCCCGGTATTCAGTGTTGGCCAGTATCAGCACAATTCCAAAAACAAGTGAAGAAACATTAAAATGAGGTGCTCACTTCCCAGGAAATCATATACAGATGTCTTTCAGACAGTTCTAACCTTCATTTAACAAAACACACGGGCTAAGTAGAGGAGTCCCAAGATGACCCTATATATTTAAGAACAGCAGCTGTGTTCATAAACTTTTACATAATAAAATTAAGATGCTTATCATTTTAAAATTTCCAGCAACAAAAGCCAAAGCCACCGTAGCATTACTAAAATGAGTAACAGCTCAAGACCAAGTACTTCTCCGGGACTGCAGAACAGCTAGAACAGATTCTTAGCTCTAGAGTTCTTGAAGCACAATGTTCTGTGCTTGTCTAAGGAAACACAAGTTACAGAAAACTCAAGGAGATGTGGTCACAGGTCTTATAGGTCACGCAGCTTGTGCCACAGCACTTGTGGGAAACCATCAGCTTAAAGGTACATATTTTTGTACTTGCTGGGCTCCAATCTCTGCGACATAGACTGCTCCACTCTTCATGTCTATGTCCACAAGGTGTGGTTTGGTTTCATCTGCCAGTTGGACTGTGCTGACCATAACACAGTCCCCAATAGAGCCAACTGGTGGTGCCGCCAAGATTGCTAACCGGTTGATATTCAGCTGAGCTACAATCAGGTACTTGTAATTGGGAGTAAATCTGTGAAAGATAGAAATACATTTCTGAATTACGAACTCCATGTGACATTTCATTGTAACACAACCATGCACTTTAAAGCAAACGAAACCTCCTTAACAGTCAAGGTTTTGAAGGCTACAACAGACTAAATGCAGTGAAACGTTGAGAATTAGCTCGTAAGCCTTGCTTTACATGTTGCTGCTCCTTGAGACAGATTACGCCACAGAAAACTCATTCAAGACAATCTCTTTTCCTGTAAAAGCTGCAACAGTAAGGTTGACAACACACAACTTTAAAGTGAAATTCCCGATCCTGTACTCAAATCCATGGAACTTGTTATAAAGCCAGAATTTCTGTCAAGACACAAATGTGTAGATCTTTGCATATGATTAAGGCCTAGCACCCTATTAGTTAAACTGGTCAACTTCCTGTCATCGGGAATTAAATATCAACATTTTAATTCCTCAGTAAGTGCACACCTTACTTATGTAACTGCTTGCTTCTAGAAGAACTTTTCAACAATACCTTACAGAATAGGGTCCGTCTTCCGAAAAACATCCGCTCCAAGACCCAAGCCATTCCCCTGTGACTTTATCAAAAACTTGGATTCTTTTGTTGTCTCTGTCTGCAACCCATACCTGTTAAGAACAAAAATCATGACTGTTCACAACCAGAACAAATCAAACACATTCGTTTCTTAAACGAGCAAAGTATCCTGTAGTAGAAAAGAAGTACACCTTGGAAGAATGTACCTCCACATTCAAAACTAAGTAAGTAGATATGACTTCCAGATATGAAACAAAACCGCCATATAGGTAAGATACACAAATTATTCTATACTACTTTAACAGAGAAATCAGTGCCTTCTCTTCATTTTTGTGACTATGATACGGATATACTTAGCAGGATTTCCACCCCTGCCCCCACCTGTTTAATTCTAAAAATACTGGTCTGTCATCCACTAAGAATTTGTTTTTCAACAGTATTCTCATTTCATGATCCAGGCCTACGATGATGGCATCTGCAAACACTCTGATATGCCTAATACTACTATAAATATTGAGCAATTTAAACACTAAGAGCACTGTCAGCATGTTTTGTCTACTCGGTGTTGTGGTGCTTATCTCTGTTCCACCCTGTGCTAACTGGGTTCACAAACACGGCAAGCTAGCAAGACCATCAGACAGTTACAGTGAAGGCCTCTCTGGTATTACAATCACGGAAATTTTAGCTGTTGACAGCTTGTCAGTCTGATAAGTACATTTCATGACTCTTCTCTGGTATCACCCAAAAGAGAGCAATAAACAAGTTGTCCTGAGGTCTTTCATCGCTATGTTTAAATGAAACACTGCTACAGCAGTCTCTTAGATTTCTTAGGAATTGACAATTATTTCCAACCTTGGCTGATGGTCAACACCACGTTGGCAATAAAATCGTAGCCCATCGCAACTGCTGTCTTTGAATGTATAGACTCATGGTTACCCTTCAACACAAAGCAGCCATGTCCCTCCTCTTCTCCCTCCCAACCTGCCAGTTTTGGCAGAGAAGCAATTTTTATATGTGCTTCTTATTCTGGTTCAGATAGCATCAGCAGAATTAACTCAAACCACTGACTGAAGATGTTTTAGTCAAGCAATCTTATTTTCCCTGAAACAGATTAAGTGACCACACAATTTCTCTAAAAGAGCAGGAGGGCAAAATCTGGACTATGAGTAACACCTGGCAGAAGTAAACTCTTGAATGCCTTAAGCTGCATGTAGAAAAGGACCGATGTTCACAACCTAGCCAGAGCCTTACTATCATCTTAAGCTTATTTGGAATTTCCAAATATGCAATTAAAGTCTCCTGAAGAAAAACACTTGAGTAGATACTTATTACAGAACATAACTCTTCTGTACTCTCACGATGCAACCTGTTAGAAACTGCAGGAGGAACAGTCTGTTGTTGCATGGACATTGACAACGTAACCACTCCGAACCCTTGTGCTGATCTTGCAGCCAGCTACTTCAGTAGGATCTGCAGCATGAAACTTCAGCTTATGACTGCCACCATGCTGAAAACTGTAACCCATATAAAAATGACCCAGACCACAACAGCTCAATGAAAAAGAAATAAAATTTGGTTTGTTCAAATATATGTAAACAAGTCTGTCAGAAGATGAAAAAAAAAAAATTCCCCCTTTATTCTTTACCCGTCCAAAAGGATCCACTGTTACACTGTGAGGAATCTTGAACTGACCAATGCCGGTCCCGTTTGCTCCAGCCAGCCATATCTCATTGTAATCTAAACAGCGACCACCATGAAAAATAAAAAGTAAAAAAACATAGTAAGAAAACAACAAATAAAAGAGCTTTAAGTGATTCCCTTGCAAAGTTACTTTGAGTAATTCTTAAAAGGTGGAATTTCTAAATCCAGAGTTTTTAAACACAGCACTACCGAAACATAAACCCAAGAAATACTGGAACTACTATAGGAACTACTGGACTGGTATTAGTGGTTTCAGGATTACGGTTACAAAAACATAGCCACTAGTACTCAGAAGCCATAGTCCAAGGCTCTGCTAAGCACCGCATTTAAAAAAATAAATAATACAAACAGTCCGCTGATTATGATATTAATTTGTTTACTAAATTGTTTTTTTACATTTGTTATCTGGGAGTTCTGAGATTTAACAGTTTACCATTTTGCAAACTAGATATTAGCAAACTGACTGTTTCATGACAGCACAAAGGAGAAATGGTAGCTCCATCACTCTTCCTCAACTGCAGACATGTGCAGGCTCCTCACAGCCCTAACCAACACTGACCATCTAACCGGGGAATTACTGCAATTCCCCATAATTAAAATAATTTAATAATAATTAAATTAATAATTAGAATCATAGAATCATAGAATCGTTAGGGCTGGAAGGGACGTTCAAAGGCCATCTAGTCCAACCCACCTGCAAGGAACAGGGATATCTTCAACTAGATCAGGTTGCTCAGGGCCTCATCCAACCGGGCCTTGAACGTCTCCAGGGATGGAGCATCCACCACCTCTCTGGGCAACCTGTTCCAGTGTTCTACAACTCTCATGGTAAAAAATTTTTTCCTAATATCCAACCTGAATCTACCTCCCTCTATTTTAAAACCATTACCCCTTGTCCTATCACAACAGGCCCTCCTGAACAGCCTCTCCCCATCTTTCTTGTAGGCCCCCTTGAGGTACTGGATATATACTGAATATATACTGATATATATATATACTGAATCATTTAAGTATAGAAGATCTCCAGACACCGTTGGGTGTTGCTTCTCAAGGTGGGACCAGCCAACTCCGAAGTTATATTAAGTTTTTCATAACTCACCAAGTTTTAAGCATCTCCAAGACTGGAGACAGCACACCCTCTATGGACAAACTATTCACTGTCTGATCACCCTCACTGTGAATCTTTCCCTCTAAAAATCAAACTGGAATTCCCCCTTCTTACATATTTTGTAAGTCCCACAGTGTCCCTTGTTCTTCCCTGTGTATCTCCAAGAAATATGTGGCTCTGTCTTCCCTATACTCTCCCATTTCTGACTTGAAAACAGTGATAAGGATCCTCCTTGGCCTTCTCTCTTGAAGAATGAACAAACTCATTCTCTCAGCCTCTTGTCATAAACAATTAGGAGATTTCTCCTGAAGCAACAATCAGTAAAACAGGACCCGATCCCAAAAAGTCTTCAAACTAATGCAGAATGACTGTTCTACCTAGTCCTCGACTAAAAGTATTCTCAAGCTGTGTTATTTAAAATTCTGTTTTCAATGGTCAATTACTGCAGAAGTTAATTTTTCCATACCGTTGGATAGTTTGAGCAATCTGTTATTCATTCCTCCATCTCCATCCACAACATAGATATCTCCACTTTCCTCTACAAAGATGTCTGCTGGCTGGTCAAACTGTAGGGGTATCAAACTTGAACCAGCATTACCTGGCGTGCCCAAAATCTGCATAAGTTTACCCGAAGGGCTATACTGTTTCACGGTGTGCCCGTATTTCCCTAAATTAAGAAAAAAAAGTGCAAAAACATCTTAAAGCAAAACATAAATATTACAACTGATTACAAAGATTAAAAAGGATAAAAAATACAACTGATATTAACAAATCAAACAGACAAGATTCTATAGTGAGACTATGACTATGGGCTAGTAAATCCATAGCCTACAACAATATTCATCTGTTGTACTAGGGCCACCAAACCTAGGACAGAAGACAAGTCTAGCCAGAAGATTATTTCAGCCCCTCGCCCTGATATTTCTCCTGGGGAAAAAAGCAAAACAAACAAACAAACAAACAAACACAAAAACCCCAAAACAAAACAAAAAACTTGCTTATTAAGTTCAGAAGCTATAAGCAGACACACAGCACAACTCATGAACCTTTGAATATTTTGTGCAGCACCTGAGAAGTTTTTTCATAGCAAGAAAAGCATAAATCTGTCTCAGAACTGAGCCTTAAATTAGTTGTTTAAAGTAAAATCTGCAGTATTAGCATTTTCTTCCCACCTAATAATTCTCATATCACCACCATGCGTACCTGTTCCAACATCTGTGATCCATACTGAACTATCTGTTGCTGTGTTCAATACAAAGATACCATGAGGCATTTCAACTGTATTATTCCAGGAGTAAAGAAAATAGCCTTCCTCTGAGAATACAAGTACCTTTGGTACATTGTCTCCCCTCTGAAAAGGCAAAAAAAGGTCTATTAAGAAACACATTATGTAAGTAATCACATTTTTGAAAATTCCTCTTTGTAAGGTTTTTGCAAGGTTTCATGAATCACGAGAGTCTCCTGAGACTGCCTGCTAGATCTCATTTTTTCCAGTTAGAAAAGCAAGAAAAGGGTCTAAGTTTAGCATGCAAAACCTTCCACTCATTCTAGACTTTCAACCTAAATCACGACGACTCCAATTTTCAGAGCAGCCAAGCTCCTGCAGCTATCTTGGTCGTAATTTACAATCACGTTTTCATGTGCTTGCTGAAAAATATGCCAAGCATAACGCGGGCATGAAAAACTGGAACTGTACTTACTTATTAGCTGCATGGCACTCAAGTACTCATACTGTGCTTTATAATTAAATCCCACCACTTGCCATGGAGAGAATGTCTTGTCTGTGACCAAGAGACACCAATGTGTGGAACTGGATAAAGCAAATAACTGAACTCCAATTACTGTTACTGGCCGAAAGAGCTGCATATTTTTGATTTCAGGGGACAAAGGCTGAAAGATCGGAAGGGGACTAGTCAGTTGCACCAGAAACACAGGTGACCTTACAGTTAGAGAAGAGGCTACTGTAACTTGGTTAAGTTGGATCATGCATTCATTACACAGAAATTTAATGCTTTTAAAAGCACAGGCAAGTATAGTCCCAGAACTGCTTTAAAAAATGGATATAGCAGAGATATCTATACTTATATTTTCACTAATTTTGATACAACTATTATTCATATATATATATACATACATACACACACGCATATATCTTAATCTAAATCAGACACTTTAAAGGCAAAAATACACTAGGTTAATAAGGAGAGAAATACAGTATTCTCACTCACTTGTCCCACGTAGACCAAACCATGAAGCGAGTCAACAGCAACACAAAATGTTTGACCAGTGAAGTATTCTGGAATTTTAGGCCAGCCTATGTCCAGCTTGTACATCTGTTGCTGTCCCTTCCAAGGAGAGGAGTAATTAAATGCTTTCAAAACCTGAACATACAAAAATAAATACCCATTAGTCGTTAAATCTCATGATGGTGGGATCAGGACAACCAGCAGTAGAAAGTAGCTTTGCACTGAAGCAACATAAATTGATTAATTAGTTTTAAATTAAGATAAACAGAAAAAGGCTTGTAACTAGTGTTTTGGACTGCAAATGGTAAACTTTCAACAAACTGGAAATTAGTTAATGAAGTCCTTTGGATTGGGGAGCTCTAGAATTAAAAAGCAAAAAACACATCCTGAAATTTCTGACATCAAAGTTGCTATTACTATCTGTAAATCTGTCCTGGTTTTAGCTGGGACAGAGTAGCTCTTCTTTTTAGCAGCTAGAAGAGCTCCGTGTTTTGTTTCTTCTCTGAGAAGAATGTTGATAGCAAGCTGATGTTTGTAGCTGGAAGAGAAACTCCAAGGACTTTTTCAGTGTGCCATGTCCTGGCCGGAGTGCAGAAGCATGGCAGGATAAGGGGGAGCGTAGCCGGGACAAGGGGGACACAATTCCCCTTATGATTTGTGGTGGAACTTAAGATTGAGGGCCAAACTGGCCAATTAGTATTCCATATCATGCAGCATCATGCCCAGTATAAAAGTGAGGGTCAGCCGGGAAGAAGGGCTTTTGCGCTTTGGCTCTCTTGCTGCTTTTGCTCTTTTGTGCTTGCTGCGCTTTTGCTCTATTGCCTTTTTCCCTCTCTCTCCCAGTACTCCCACTCTCGGAGTACTCTCTCTCTCTCTCGCCCCCTCTCTATTTCGGGGCCTCGCATTCGTCCGGGATTGCAGCTTCGGGACGAGACGGGCTTCGCATACGAGGGGGTGGTGAGCACCTACACTGTGTATTAAATCATCTGTATTAAATTGTTCTTATCTCAACACACAGGTTTCCCGCTTATCCTTTAATTCTCTCCCTCATCCCTGTGGCTGGGGAGGGTGAGTGAGCGACTGTGTAGGGTTGAGTTGCCGGAGCGGCCTAACCCACGACAAAAATCACACTTTAAAATGAGGAAAATAGTAGAGAATCTCCCAAATGCAACAGAATCAATAACGACTTCAAGAAGATACGAAAAAAAAAGGAAAAGAAATTAAAGGGAAAATATAGGTCAAGAAAGAAAACCACAACTTAGAAATAGGGAAGTGTAAGATACCAGGAACAGCAAAACTCAGGTCAGTGCATACATACTAAAGGATAATGGAAAAAAAAATAATCTTCCACCTTCTTGTTCTATTTTTCCAGCAGAAGAACATAAGCTAAGCACAGCTGCGCTATGGCAAGTGCTGAATGGAGATCTCTGCACTGAAAGGGAAAGATGGGGCTGGAACTCAGCAGGACCAGGTGGTGACCCTGAAGAACCAGGGCCACTGAACGTTTCTGTTAACTGTCTCACAGTAAGGGCAACAGAACACTGGAACAGGCTGCCCAGAGAGGTTGTGGAGTCTCCTTCTCTGGAGATGTTCAAAACCAGCCTGGACGCGTTCTTGTGGGATCTGATCTAGGTGGTCCTGCTCCAGCAGGGGGACAGGACTAGATGATCCTGACATTCTGTGATTCTGTGATTCTGTCCCTCGCCAGCGGCAGGGATAAGTTGGTGACAGAGAACTACGAACAGCTCAAGAACGACATGGCTACCGAGACAGAAAACCGAGAACGATGAAGCAGGGGGTGAAATCCGACAGCGCGAAGTGCCACGTTATTCCCCCACAGATGATGAGTTTTCCCTCGTTCGAGCCAAGCATATCGCCTGG